AAACAATGATAATTCAAATTTCAACCTAGATATATGTTTATTTATAGGAAAAAAACAACAACATGCATTTCATTAATACATGCATCATAATTACCTAAACAAAAATAGGACTAAGCATGTATATAGATTGGAAGCATTCAGACACAACAGTAAAATATTATAAAATAAATATTGTATGATTTTTAAAGGAACAAAGTAAATATAGTGAAAAAATTGTTAATGAAGCATCTTTGGACTATATTTGTTAGTAAAGAAACAACATTTAGAACTCAGTGACTCTATAGGCATGAAATATATGAAAGGTATTCATTTATCAATAGACCAAACTACAACACAAGATTCCTACATTAGTTTCTAGAAAAAGGAAAGGAATTTTTAAAAATCCTTTGTACTTGTGTTAATAAATAAAAAAAAATCCTTATGTTTTGTAATACAGAATTCATTATAGCAATTAACATATATTTTTTTTCTCCCTCCAGAACCTTGAATATTTGTCAATGGGGACAATTGAATGCATCATCTTCAACACCCTTTTCATGCAAAAGTAAAACTACAGTGAAGCCTTAGATTCAAGAGCATAATTCTATCAAGGAAGATTATTTACATCAACTTGTATAGCGTTTGCAAACTCTTGTTACTCACAATCTATGGTCTAATTGTAATTTCAATATTACATTTGATTGATATAAGAAAAAAAAAACTTTTCCAGGTAAGAATATAAAAAAAAATGCTTAAAACAACATTGCACCAAAAAAAAAAAAAAAAAAGATCATAAATTAAGAAGACTGCAGCCCAGTCACCAAAACACATACATGATTTTTAGTAAAAGAAAAAAAAAGTGAATATACAAATTTCTTTTCCTTACAATTAAATGTAACAAATTTTCAAAATGTTTCATAAAAATTTAAAAGAATAAGAAAAAAAAAAGAAAATAAAATTTCATATCATAATAGCTTTTTAAATAAATTATTTTAAAAGATCTACCATTGAAGCATATTTTGCCAAAGACCTAAAGAAAATAAATGTCTAAAAATGTAAGAAATCAGTTGTATAACTTACCGAAGAACCTACCAACTGAGAAAGTCAAATATTGTAAATCAGAATTTAAAACACTCTACTGATATTATTTTTTTCAGTAAATCCTTTAAAAATACAGAAGCTTTGAATAAATAAAATATTTGTCTTACACTACTCATTTTATTCTGCTTAATCTTAATAACTGTTATCATACAAAGAATTTTGTCTATATACTGTATTGGAAACAAATACTATCAAGATTCTCAGTTACATAGATACTCAGTATATGAATATAATGGCTTACTACACCTTGTATACATAGCATAACAAAATTCATTGCAGATGAATTAAAACCATCTTGACTTATCAGACATTCTGTTAATTTTTCTCTAAAAAATATAGTTAATGTAACAACAAACTGCAAATAAGTCAAAATCAACTTCAATGCTCAAAACTGTTCACAAAATATTTTCTTTGAAAATGACTTAACAATATGCTTACCTCTTTAGGAACTTTGGGTTGCGGGGGTACCCATTCTTGTGCTATATATTTTTTCTGTTCATATTTGGATCTTATAAATGCCTCTAGAGCTCTAAATGTTTAGTCAAAGATTTCTCTCAAATATTGGTGTAATATTCATCACATCCAAATTACCAGTATCTTTTAAAAATGAAAAAAAACAAACATCTAGAGTATAGATCTGAAACCAAGTTAACCGTTCAGTAAAGGATACGAATCTGTCTGAGGTCTACGGAAGCCATCTGGAATATTAGCTTCATACACAGCCCTAGCTCTGCTGTTTCCCATTTCTTGCATCATCTAAAACAAATGGTAAAATCAATTTTTAACCATATCTGCACAAAAATCTTCTTTTCAAAAATAAAATAAAATGTTTAGCTTTTAAATAAAAAAATGCTTACCCACCACAACTTAACAGTACAGTAACATACTTCAATGACTTACAGAAACTTGTTCAGGTGTCCATGTATCTAAGTTGACAGATTTAACTTTAGAAATGTGAACACCTAAGTTCCTATGAATGCCAGCACATCGAATGCAAAGAAAAATTCCTAGATTCCATGATGCCCACCTAGGTCCTAGAAAAGAGAACAAATGTATTTATTTTTCAAATATTGTAGCATTACTCTTCAACAAAATGTCAAATAAATTGGTCACATTTATTTATAGACAGTTGGGGAACTAAGATTTAACTACCACTAAGAGGTGGATGGGTGCCTGGCTGTGTGGTATGCACTCTAGACTGTCATTAGCTTGTCTTGATGGTCCCGGGTTTGAACCCTGCCCACTGCCATCCCTGTTGTTCTGCAGCAGGTTTGGGCTAGGTTGTAATTACCTTCAAATCTGATGGTACAAAACATGTAAAACATTTGACAAACAAACAAGAGGTAGTGTGTGCTACGTATGGCAATGAGTCAGTAGAAGACCAATATGATAATATGACCAATAACAGATTACATCCACAATGAACTCTCTCTCTCTCTCTCTGAGACTGTCTCCACCCCCATAGCATAGATTTCACAGTTGATAAAGAGATGACAATAAATCTTATAGTTTTATAGTGTCTATAAGTAGAGTAGCAGTAGTATCTAGAAAACCTTGTTCAATTCTAAGTTGTTTAATATTAAGTTCATTACAAGAGACATTAAATGAAGAGTCTTCAAGAAATCATAGACTTGTCTTAGATTAGATATCATTATTAGAACGTCTTAGGTAGTTAGAGTCCTCTGGACCTTTCTACTAGTGACTCTAGATGTTTAGTTCAAGACTAGGCCTGGGGAGTAGCTAGTAGCCTTAGTAAGGAAGAGGCTTGAGTCTGGTGACACTTAGTGGACTTGTCACAGTGTACAGCTTGTGACACTACTTACAGTGATAAGTGAAAGTGGCTGAAAGTAAAGTAAAGCGTAAAGAAAGGCAAAGGAGGACCCTACCTTTCGCATCACAGTCGACACAATATTTATTGTCCTCATCTTTTAAAAGGGCTGATAGAATGGCCTGAAACTTTTCCTGCTGTTCTTTTGCTTTTTCCTTTTCTTTAAAAGATGACATTTTTAATTAATAATTGTGTTAGATCTTGATATATTTTTTTTTCTGTTATAATTTTAATAGATTTAGTAAACAGTATATCATCTACGATGGGCAGGCATACAGGGGAAGTAACTCGTGAACCACTTCCGGTTTTTTTTATTTCCCATATTTTTATTTTTATTTCTAAGCCTGCTTACGTGTGCAGTCATATGTTCACTGACCTAGGTAGATCTAGGCCTAAACAACAACAACAACACAAAGATGAACGGTTCTCAAAACCAAAAGTAACGGTAAACCGAAAATGGATGTATCATTATCACTGAATAAGAGATCTAAATCTATAAGCTTACCAAACAAGAGCTAACATAGTGAAACATCTTTTCAACTTTAGGGGAAAAAAAGAAGGTTGATAAAGGGAGATGCCTAAAGTAGGTAGAAGGGGAAATTTAGCATATAGAGGAATTAACACACAAAAAAAAGTCAAAAGGCTACCAATTTTTATCCATAAAGGTAACTACAGGAAGCAGATTTATATTTTAATATTCACAAAATATCCTTTGTTACTTAAAAAAAAGATTATAAAGGACAATGATTCTGATGTATGGTAGTGGAAAAAAACAACAACAAACAAAAAAACAACTATGGCTACACATTAATTTTTAAATAAAAATCACCTCCAGTTTCGTATTAATCTATGTTTTAAAAATGTTGATCTAATTTTCATTGACCATTTATGGCGTCTATGTTGTCATAGAGTATGTGGAAATTTGTGGATAAAACTTGAAAAATAAGTCTGCATGTGTAGGAATGGTGACAAAAGTAGTAATGAATTTCTTTAAATGTTTCAAATTAGCCTACGCTTATTTAATTGAACTAAGGAAATACTCAATGACACATTGATCTGGAAAGACAAAGGCATTAACCTCAGTCAGACTGATGCGCTTCTTGGTCATGGCGACATTCTTATGTCCTAGCCATGGAATCGAGATGTTATAGAAGGATCATAGGTATGACAAAAATGACATACACAGATCGACCGCATCACTAATGAGGAAATTCAAAACAGGATTACAATGGCGATTGGGCTCCTCCGATGACCACTGTCAAAAAGCGCTAACGTAAACAGCATGGCCATATTAAGAGGTCCACAGGGCTTGGAGAGACCTTCCTGCAGGGAACAGTACCAGGGAAAGGAAAGAGAGGCAGAGAGAGAAAGTGATAGAAAGATTTTTAAAAAATGGACTGGCCTGTCATTGAAAGAGTCTCTAAGGCAAAAGACAGGAACTGAGAAAGATGTTCGACAGATCAATAGACTAAAAGGGCTAGATGAAGGAAGACATTACCTGTATAAATCAGTTAAAAATTTATACCTAGTATTACTCTGCATAAACTCTGCAAACGCGACATGAAGCTCTTCAAAATCGACACTGGCAACTGGGAAGAGGTGCCACTGGACAGATCCTCATGGAGAGAGCATAAAGGAAGGGTCAAAGAATGCAGATGTCATACACAAAAAGCAGAAAGAAGGGTGAAAATGCAACGGCGCCTGGTGATTATATATGCCCAACCTGCGATCGCAGCTGTGTATCAAGGATTGGCCTCTTAAGTCACACAAAAAGTTGCAAAGGGAAAAGATCGTCTCTCGAGACGTAAAATGCCACAGGAAACGTGTGATACTGTACCTTTAGTTAGATGTATGAGAAGAAATTATGATAAAACAAATTTGGGAAATCAAAGGTTTCTAACCATTAACATAGCATAACCAATGGGTTTTTACTCAGAGATTTGTAATAGGCAGCCATTAAGGAATGATTAAGCCCTCATCATTTAAACAGATCACTGCACTAGAATACATCTTGTTATCTGTACTAATAGTTATAGCTCTTGACAACTGCTATTTAAGGTCAAAAACAAACAAATAAATAACAAAAACCCAGCTTTGTGCAACTAGACCAGCTTTTATTGACTGTTTTAGTAAAACATTCAAATCCAAATGTACAGAAGCAAGAGGACTCACTCACTCTATCACTCTCACACACAAAGACAAGTAAACACTCATTCATTCGGAAAATTGCTTCCTGAGGTGAAATATTGCAAGGACACAGAGAGCTGCTATTACAATTCATCTGTCACAACAAAGATTTGGAATCACTTCCTTCAAGCCAAGCTCTTCCTAGTCTCAGCTTCATTCAACAAACATAGACTTTGAATACCAAGCTGTGATAGTATGCAAGAAATGCTTTGACCATGACCAAAAAAAAACAACCCAAAACACACACAAAATAAAACACACAAATTACTTTCCTCCCTTAGACCCCAAACACATTGAGAACAAAATCCTATGCTAAAAACAAAACATGCGTTAAAAAAAACAAATGTATGGTCTATACAGAATGGAAATGATTCTTTGTAATATGAAGTGACGCGAAAACATATTAAATATATTTTTTGTATATAAAAGTAATATATAGAGTGGAAGATATTAAAATATATTTCTTAAGCCCACATAAATGATAATACTTCAGAACTGGCAAATGCATGCCATAATATTTAAACACACATAATTATATATTTATCTATGCAGTGTAGACATACAAATGCTTGATATACATGTACATATGCAATGACAAAAGCAAGAATACACCAGATCAATGAAGATAAAATATTGAGCCATGCTCATAATGTGTATATATATATCCAAAATAAACTTTGTTCAAACACCACCACAGCCAACCAATCAACAACAACTGTATGACTTCATAAGCCTGTCAAAAACAAACCAAACTTTAAATACTGTCAACTGAAAAGAGTTAAGCTTTCTTAGAGGTATAAATTTCTTCTAAATAAAAACAGCTTTGCAAGGTCTAAATTCAAGTGAATACATAAGAAAATATCCCAAGATGGTTACCAATGACTACTATTTTGGTAAATTTACTGAAATATTGAATAGCAATCATTACAAAGGACAAGACTACACTTGCTTACAAAGTGGGAATGGAGAGGTGGAATCAATGTAATTCAGTGTGACTAACAAGAAGAACCCTAACTTGAGGACATCATGCACCAGCACAAGCAGAACATACAAATGAGTGCTAAGTGTAAGGTATTTAAAGTCGAGTCAATGAAAAAAAAGGCAAACTATTTTTTATTACAAAAGCAACAGACTTCAAATTATATTAATTTAGTTTCCTTTTTTTTTTAGTTGTTACAAATATTTGTGAAAAATTAATAATAGTAGCAAAAAAAAAAAAGGTACTAATCAAATAGTTGTTAAGTATTAATCTTCATTATCTTGGTAATAAAAATATTTACCCAAACATTTAAAAAAAGAAACCAAAACATAAAGACTTGGTGCAGAAGTGAGTTAGTTCAGCTGCATGACATTCATCTTAAGTCCTAGGCAACATAATGACAAGAGATTATAAAGCAGACAACAGTGAAACCATCAAACTTACTGAACAAAAATGTTTAAAAAGCACACAGAATACTCAGCCAACTAAAGCCACATGTAACAAGTAAGAAACTCATCCAATAAAGAAGACAGCCCAAAGAACGAATAAAAATAAAAGCTACTAGAACGTACTAAAAAAAAAAAAAGCATTTATCATTAGAGATTTCTAAAATTCTATCAAGTCAAAGAAAAAAAAAAAAATGAATGTAAAAGAAAAACCATTTGAAAAATAAAACCAACATTTGACAGAACTTGAGAAACAGTGAGGTAGGTAAGTACATCTCAATACAAAAATAAAAGGGAATAAATATCTGGTCTGCATATGTCCACTGTGACAGAGAAGTCAGTAAGACATTGTCAGGTCAATGTGAAATCTACCATGGTTTAAACAAAAAAAAAAAAAAGTGGCCTTCTGGGGCTCAACAACATTATAACTTATATTAAGCTTAAAAATATGTATTGGCTATTATATGGTATCAAAGCTTTTTGAGCTTAATGGTCATTTTGCATATATTTTGTAAAGGACTGCCAGATATTAGTTGGCAAAACAAAGACATTATTTTCATGCTTATTTCTCTATTCTCAATGACACATTCTAGGTTTATTTCTCTATTCTCAATGACACATTCTAGGTTTATTTCTCTATTCTCAATGACACATTCTAGGTTAAATGGTACACAAGATTTAAAAAAAACAACTGCTAAATCAGATTTGAATTCCAGCATCTAACAAAGTCCCTCCAGAGTTTAATTTAGTCACAAAAAGTTTTAAAGGATTGATTTGACTAATTTTTCCTGTAATCTGTAGGTCAGTGAAATAAAGTTCCACATTCAATAACATAGGTATCAGAATTGAGGCTGAATTTTTTTTTTTAGTACTTGCTATCTGACAAACAACAATTTGATTTTGTCTAAAGTAAAGAGAAAAAAACAAAACATGTAACAGTCATGATGAAATATCTTTTCAATAAAATTAACAGAATAATAAAATCTACCAGACTTTCAATGTCAATAATGTGTGTCCATGTCTGCTTGTAATGAGTAGACAAATAGAACACCTTTTTAAAACATTTCTTTTTCAAAATAGTCACTACTAATTCATAGAAACGTCATTACAATTTTATTTTTGTTTGTTACAATGATTAAATGCAGTATAACTTGAGATACCTTCAAGCAGACAGCAAGTAAATGATTGTTAAGTGACAGAATGCCTACATCACCAAGACAATCTACACAGACTAAAAAAAAAATGTTTATACAATTTCAGCTATTCATGAATTATATATTTTGTTGAGCTCTTTTATTTAAATACAAATTCTCAGATATTTATAAATAAAAATAAACAACCACAAATAGTTTACAAAGACAACAAAAACATGAATCTCAACCAAACGGATTAGGGCAACATTGAGGAAACGGTGTAAGCTAATAGGATTAACACTTTTTGACTTTTGAAGTGTAAGGTGGCCAATGAGCAATCCTCACTGATCTTTAAAATATAACATTTTCAACAGAACATAATGAATGTCACTTGATCTTTTCAATGTTACAAGAACAAAAGAATTTAACAAATGACTAATGCATAAATATCACATGACTAACATAAAAAAAAAGTATAATTCAGAAATAGGAATACAGAAACAAAACAAGGGAAAATCTTTTTTTTTTTAAAATAAATTCATCTCTTAGAATATTACCAAGATAGTTTAGTGGCACACAACACCATTCATAGGGAATAAAGTGTTGGTTCATTGTCTGTGAACTTGAGGGAGGTCAGTAATTCATCACAGATAAAGTTATGGTCCTACAAGAGATGTGGGAGGAGGTCACACCTTTACTTCTGCTCAAAGCTGGAATCATTGATACAAAAAAATGGAACACAAAAAGACAAATTCTATTTAAAGCTATGCAAGTATTATCTTCAGAAAATACAGATATAGATATGGATTAATGAAAAAAAAAAAAAGATAATATTTTGAAGTACAAAGGAATTAAATAATATTCAAAGACAACAACAAGAAAATGTAAGCTATCTTTCATAAACAGAATACTTATTGCAGCATTAACTAGATTGGTTTAAACAAAAATTGTCTTTCAAAATTCAACTTTTGCAGGTGAAAAAAAAACAGAAATCAGATCTGTACAATTAAACATACAATGTGAACATTATTCAACAGGGTGAGCATAGTACAGCCATTGACACAAGATCCTCACTATATTCAAGGCTCACGCAGTACAGACACTTGCACACACAATTAAATAAAAAAAAGCTACACTCTCACAAACTTGCAAAAAGGTATGCCGCAGTCCAACTACACATACTTGCACAATCATGACAACCACACATCTCAAACTCAACAAACATCTTTGAATAAATAATTTGAATAGAAATTGCTTTGTTACATAGTTTACACAGGGGTGTCATGTACTTGGATTGCAACAGAATTCTCACAATGGAGCTTTTGGACAACCTTCTACAGGACAGCTCCAACTGGACAATCCAATCACTATTGTCATCAGTCAAGCTATAAGAGCAATTGTTTGTCACTTCTTGGCTACAGGACTGCACCCATTATCAATCTCTTTGATACATAATAAGTTTATAAAAGAAACATTTCTGATGGTATATTTCATCAATCGCTAGACTATCAAATATTTTCTATTTACACTTTGGCACCATGTATGGCAATGCTATTATTATGTGAATAATATTAGGATAATTATTTTCTGTTACTTCATTCATTTGATTCAATATCATTTTATCTGGACTAAAATGTTCCTATTTACTTTTTAAATATTTGTTTTAAACTGTTTTTACAAAAGTATAAATACAAAATTTATGAGTATTACACAAAACTAAAATAAAAAATGTGTCAATTCACTACTTTTCCCAAAATGATAAGGAAACAATCTTCTATTTTGTATACACCAAATATTGTAGCACATAATAATCAACATACCAGAAATTCGAAAAAGAAATTTTTGTAAATGTTATAAACATAAACCAACAAATAAATTATCTTACAATTTGTTTTGGAATTATTCAATTATAAACCAAATCTTTCATGAATCAAAAACATAAGTTTTCTTTTCCCTTTGTAAACAAGTTTCATGTTCTCAATCAGCTGTGCAAACCTGAGAGGTCCATCATGTGCCAGGTGAAATGTTTCCCGTGCTTTGCTCAGGAAATCAATAAAGTCTGAGTAATGTCGAGGGCTGATATGGGAGAGCTTTGAGTGGGCGCAGTGTATGTAAGCAACAATGGTGCTATCCATAAGCTGCTTCAGCGGCGCTTTGTCATAGCTCAATGATTTCAACGTCCTACGCTTGCTATCCAAGCAAGCCAGACCCGGCGATGCTATCGTGCAGCTGCGCAAAATGTCTGCCAGCACAGTGGCACACTGAATGTTTTTGACGATGATGGGGACCAGGTTGGCCAGCTCCGTCCGGCCCAGAGAATGAGCTAGCGCACAGGCCCAATGGATGTCTGCTATGGCAGGGTGAGTGTCATGATTGTAAGCGACATGCAGCCCTTTCATTGCCAGCAGCGCAAGCCGGAAGGCCTGAGAAGGATGGCCACGGTGCTCCATATATCTGGCTATGGTGAAAAGCTGGCTGGAATTTATGATGTGCGAGGCGGCACCTACCACTATCTGATAAGCAGCTTCAAATGCCCGACTATCTTTCTCACACAGGTTGAGTGCACAAAGAGCACAGTTCTGTGGGTCTCTTTTGGCACACTGTAAAGCTAAGGTTCGAGTGCAGTGTGCAAGCTCTTCCTGTTGAGAGTATGTAGCACTCAATTGCATCATAGTGGCAGGGGACATGACTGTCATAGCAACGGTACCTAAAAAATATTTATGAATACTTTGTGTAAATATTGGTATACACGACACACTTTTCTAATTGTAATTACTCTGTTGAATATACTATATATTTTTTTTATTAGTATACAGAACACATTTTAAATTCTGTCAATTATAGTACACAAGTAATAAATGAATTTTCTTATTAAAAATATTGATTAATTACATTTTGAAAATAAAAATATTGCACCTCTCTTTTTTATGCAAAATCAAATTAGTCTAAATTAATATTTGCAATATTTTTAATATGCTACAATCCGATGCTTCAAAAAATTAAATGATCCTATAAACTCAGTTCTTTTATTTAGTCTTATAGACTGACCTGTTCATTCACATTAAATAATTGGGAACCTGAAAACATATTATGGACTTACTGGAAGCTTCAACAGGAGCAAAGTACTGGTACCAAGACTGCATGATGGCTAAAAGTGCATCAACCCCTACTTGAGTTGCACAAGTCACAATCCACCTTACCATCTCTCTACGGCGCCAGTTAAGGGTCATAAGTGTCATTCTCATCACCTTTTGAAAATGGTAAAATTTCAATGAATAAGTCTTAGCCAATAAGTACAATAACATCTTTATAAGCTAGCTTTATATACAAAAGAATTAGCCCATCTAATAAGAAACTGTTAAAACTAAAGCCATCGTATAATAAACTCATGAAGGAAGTAAAGTTGGCCAGTCCGCATTCGCTGATAACATGCATGACTAGATTGACACAGGGACATAATCATCTTCTCTTTAGAAGTAACATCTGTAATTTATAAGATAAGATATCTAACATGGTTGCAGCTTCAAGATAAATAAAATGTCCATGTTCTTACCTGCAATCCTAGTTCAAAAGAAGCTTTTAGGGCTGGAAGATATTTAGGTCCATCTGGAGGAGTGGAGATTTTAAATGTGTCTTGGGCAAGCCGAAAGAGCTGTGAAGAGCTATGGATGTGTCTTTGGGCACAGTCAAGCACTGACTGAAGTCTCTCAGCATCGTCTACAAAATCAAAGATGTCCCTTCTTTAACACTATTTTATATTTATGTTGGTTGTTAGCAAGCTATAAAACACCTAGAAGATTTTTTTAGTTCAATAACTCGTTAATAATTTAAGTTTTTCTTTGTTCTAATGAAATAGATAAGTAAATATATGATCAAATATACTGAGGCTCAATTAACCAATCTGTAATTAGTAATTTGAAAAACAACTGTAATCAGCTGCTATTACTCTTTGAGAGTTTGTTTTATTGATGTAATGTATAGTTCCTCTCATAAGTATACAAAGTCATAGCTATCATCATACAACCTATGGGACAATAAGTAAATACCAAGACCTGATACTCTAAAGTGGCTTACTTTTTGCTGCCTCCAACAGGGTTGATGCCAGGAGACACTGCTGAGATTCAACATGGGACAAAATGAACCATCTTGGAAAGCGGGTCAACCTGTTGGCATTATTAACACTATCATCAAAATTAGAATCATCAACATTCTCCAAGATGGGCAGTCTGCAACGATATTTAACACAGATACCATAAACTAACATGAGATCAAATACAATAACACTAGATTGTCAATTAGCCCTACTACAGAGTAAAATTTATAATCAATTGAAACCTTGCCAGTATCATGTATTTAACAGGCTTGTAAATACATAACACAAGTTGCTCCTCACTTCCATGCATAACAAAAGCACATTAAAATCAACTTCATCACACTCTACAGCAATATATCAAAGAAACAAAAACTAGAAAAACTCAATTTTAGACTCACCTCATAGCCCGCAATCCAACCTTGTAA